TGAAATTTCTCAATAAACTAATTAAATATTAAATTTGTAGTTTAGTAAATTTATTAAATTTATCAAAATAACATTTGATATTTGTTTAATTGTATGTGTTTAAAATATATATATTACAAATTTGGTTTACATAAAAATTAAAATTGTATGTGTTTTTTGGTTTATATACTTGTATGTGTGTTAAAAATTATATATTATAAATTTAGTCTATACTCATATTAAACTGCCTCCTAAGATTAACTTAACCATATTAAACCAACTGGTAAATAAGACGTGTCCCACCGTCCTTTAAATCGAAGTGGCAATAGTGAAATCTGATCCACTCTGTTTTTTTTCGTACATATAATTCCTCAAGTTCTGTTGAATTATTCAAAATGCAACTGGTAACACTAAAATAAAATTCAGCTAGATTCCTTACAATTTTTCAATTCAGCTAACACCATTTACAGAATTAAGTGTTAATTTCTTTTTCTTTCTTTGGTCTAAAAGGTGTTTATTTCAAGCCATCTATATTAAAGTAAGTTTAAATGCCACAACCACTTCCTGAGTTACTACTACTACTTTTTGAAATAGACAGTCTGCCAGTCTGGTATGAGAAGTCACCGAGTAACTACGGAGAAAAACAACATAATTTTTTTTGCAAATTGAAGGACCAATCAAGAATGGTGCTTTTTCTCACCACAAAATAAATAATATGGTGTTATCAAAGAGCCTGAAACCCTATACAAAAATTTGTTTCTTGAAACATACAAAGCGTCTTTGTTAATCATTTCCAGTTTCTCTCATATTAGATCTGTGATTCTGTGATCTTAAATCTTCTCACAATGGCTTCTTCTTCTTTGTTTCGAAGCTGGGAACACGATGTCTTTCCGAGCTTCCACGGACCAGATGTATGGAAACATTTTCTCAGTCACATTCCTAAGGAGTTCATAAGGAAAGGAATCAGCACTTTCATTGACAACAATATCAAGAGAGGCGAATCCATCGGTCCTGAACTCAAAAGGGCAATCAAAGGATCTAAGATTGCCATCGTCTTGCTCTCCAAGAACTACGCTTCTTCGTCGTGGTGTCTTGACGAATTGGTGGAGATCATGAACAAAGTGTTGGGTCAAACTGTGATTACCATTTTCTATGAAGTAGATCCAAGTGATGTAAAGAAGCAGACCGGAGATTTTGGAAAAGTCTTCAAGAAAACTTGTTGAGGTAAAAGCAAGGAGAAGATTGATACGTGGAGAAAAGCTTTGGAGGCTGTGGCCACAATCGCCGGTTACCATTCAAGAAACTGGTTCGTCCTCTTGTTTTTATTGTTTATATATAAACTATATAGTATTGACTATTGAATGTGTATGTGAGAGTACTTAATAATTATTTATTAAAATGATGTATAAATTGATCTCTGTCCTTGTTAGGGATGATGATGCGGCCATGATCGAAAACATAACCGCTGATATTTTGAAAATGCTGAATCATTTTGCACCATCACACGATCTCGATCCTTTAATTGGGATGGGAGCTCATATGGAGAGTATACAATTGTTGTTACGCCTACATTGGACGAAGTGAGGATGATTGGGATTTGGGGTCCTCCTGGTATTGGTTGTTGG